CTTCGTCTTCAAAGGGTTAACCAGCTGATTTTCGTAATGGTGAGGTGTAGTGTTTTCTTCGCGGTACGGACTGAATTCATAAATAATATTCAGACGATCTTCGGCTTCAAAGGGTTAACCAGCTGATTTTCGTAATGGTGAGGTGAAGTGTTTTCTTCGCGGTACGGTCTGGATTCGTAAATATTATGAAGACGAGCTTCGTCTTCAAAGGGTTAACCAGCTGATTTTCGTAATGGTGAGGTGTAGTGTTTTCTTCGCGGTACGGACTGAATTCATAAATAATATTCAGACGATCTTCGGCTTCAAAGGGTTAACCAGCTGATTTTCGTAATGGTGAGGTGTAGTGTTTTCTTCGCGGTACGGACTGAATTCATAAATAATATTCAGACGATCTTCGGCTTCAAAGGGTTAAAAGTGAAACATATTTTGTATCTAGTCTTTTTAATGAAGAAACCCTTATTACGAAAATTTATTTACTAACATTATGTCAATAATTTAAACCTTCAGAGGTCGTGTATGACGATGTCACCAAGTGTGTACTACTAACATCACCGTTCCAAACGTGTTTTATGAATTAAACTACAGCAGATTTATCAAAATTCGCCAAAAATTGATTTCGGGGCACAGAAATTGATATTCTGCACTTTAAATGCGTCTCGTTCTTGTGGTCGTGCGGAAAACTGGTGGCAAAACACTCATACAAACAAAAATAAGGTCGTGTAATATCCGTCTGATTTTACCAGCGACAGGTTCCTCGTAATAAGTTTCAAGGTACATGAAGGTTCATCACCGAACTAACCAAAGCCCTCCACCGGACCAACAAAATCCAGTCTCCTTCAACTCCTATCTCCCATAGATCCCGCCTGAGATTATCCTCCCATCTACGTCTAGGTCTCCCCAGCGGTCTCTTCCCTTCAGGTTTCCCAAATAGTGGACCCAACCAACCAGATGGCTTACGGAACCCGAAGGTTCATCACCGAATTAACCAAAGCCCTCCACCGGACCCTGTCCTGGGCCAACAAAATCCAGTCTCCTTCAACTCCTATCTCCCATAGATCCCGCCTGAGATTATCCTCCCATCTACGTCTAGGTCTCCCCAGCGGTCTCTTACCCTCAGGTAACAATGTTCCAAAAATGAGACAATGTGTTTGCGTAACAATATACCCATAAGGTCTTCGTTCAAGAACACTAAATAATCTCTATAGGCTTTGTTTTCCAGCTCAATGTTGGTTGGTTGGTGATGGGTTTTTTTAATTACTATTTGCATCGAATTAAATCTTTATTACATTTTTTTAATTAAACAAAGACAAGTAATGATATTAATTTTCATGTGCTATATTGTTAGACTCATAATTAAAACGTGTTTTTAAGTAAAAGTTTAGAGTTCCCCATCATTATTAGTGGATAATTTACTATTATATTAGTTTCTCTTATCTCGTGATAGTTGCGTTCCTTGATAAAACCGCGTAATGAAAACCGTCGGTTCAATTGAAATTAAGAGGTTAGGGATATGAGGAACTCTTTCATAACTGTGTTTATGTTTTAAATTAATTTGCTCAAATTCATTTGTTTCTCGATTAAATTATACCCAACATGCACCAGCGTTATGAAAACAATTTTCTCTTATCAATGGAGAAATTATTGTATTAATGATTATTATTTATAGAACGTAATACGTTTCTCCGACAGATTTTCAAGAACCTGGGCAAGTGTAGTCGATCTCCTTGACCTGCGTCTCCTTCTTGATCCTGTCTACGTCAACATCGCCTTAGGCTGTTCTATGTCCTTCTTCGCCGATGTAACCTACAGCACAGTGTTTCCATTGGCAATCCTCAAGATGGGTTATTCCAGGGCTGACACTGCCTTATGCATCTCCATAATCGCAATTACAGATATATTTGGGAGACTCTGTGTAGCATTAATTGGAGCTCTTTGTCCAAAGATTACCAGCAGAGCTCTAGTCTTCGCAGGGGCAGTTTCATCCGTCATCGGCAGAATAAGTATATCGATACAAATAAATATTACTGTTACAAAATATATTAGAAATAAAATAAAATCACCCCACACACACATTCCTTATCGAGCACTTCAATAATATTAAATTATCATAAATCTTCTTTGAAAAATTTCCCGTCCTGCATTGTCAGGCGAGTAAAATCTGATCGTGGAGACTCTGGTAGCAAGAAATGAACGCGAGGCTACGGTGGGGTCTGGCGGCGACTGCTTTAAATTGGAGTATCGAATCATGCAATTAGTTTTGTGTTGCTACGCCATTAAGATATTTCCACTTTTAATTTATAAATACATTTTATAAATTTCGATGTGCATTCATAATACTGTTATAAATTATATTATTGTTTAACACAAAAAAAGTTTAATTTCTAACAACTTTGACGCGTCATACTAAAACTTTCAACATGAAACTAAACAAAATAAAAACACGTATCACGTAATCACAACAAATTTACGATGCAAGTTTTTCATAAATATCAACAGTTGATATTCCAAGCATCTATTAAATGAAGACATTCCTAAACAAGCTAAGATTAACTTCGTTTTACAAAAAAAAAATTTTTACCAACTTCTTACAGATACAAATAATATACCACTGGCATTACAATTAACAATGATCACTCCACGATATACGCCAATCAGCAAATTAAAAGTCTTAATCGTCACGTTTTAAAATAGCATTGATCTGGATCATATACGATGAATTGATTCAGATAGAAACTGCTCTGTTTTCAGTATTCGTCTTCTTTGATGATTTCTCTTCAATGGCGATACTAATCGGATACCTTGGGTTTACCAGAAGCTTCATCCACGTACCAATGCCCCTAGTGTTTGCGGAGTACAACATCCACCGCTTCCCTGCTGCGTATGGTCTAAGTGCAGTGATAACTGGGATAATCTGCCTATCAGCGGGACCTCTTGTAGGTACGTACAAGTCCACCGTCAGTTACTGACATCCATTATCCTTTACCCCAGTAATTTTCGTCGTAATTAAGATAACATGAATAAAAATTTACTTGGATATTATCCATCGTCTAGTAATAAAACGTAAAAAAAAACGTAAAACGACGTTTCGGAGATGGGGCTCTATCTCCGAATAGGGATTAGCTCTATCTAGTGGGCCCAACTGAGTAGGAACCTGAAGACGGAGATAGAGCCCCATCTCCGAAACGTCGTTTTTTTTTACGTTTTATTACTAGACGATGGATAATATCCAAGTAAATTTTTATTAAATTGACTCTTCACCATCGTCAAGAAGTTTTAGATTTGATAAGATAACATGGCTGTAACGCGAACTGTTGTTACTCTTATATAATAAGAACAGACAATTTGGAAGATAGTTGTCTTCTGGATTGTCTGGTAGAAGTTTTCCGACGTTTCAGAGGTGCTTACTGCCTCTATCATCGATAAAAGTCCGCCATACTACACGGAGCAACAAGGCAGAAGACAAGACATCGTCATATTCGTCATTGTCAGAATCTAGAATCTCAATTACAGACATTTCCTCATTTGACAGTTGACTGTACAGAACAGGAGACTCTAAATAGTAACTTCTTAGCTTCATATCTTGAAGGAATGTTAATAAAAAAACATGGAAACTTCACGGATTATGCCAACTTGCGTTATAAAATTGCGCTTTCAAGGTTATCCAGGACATAATAATAAATGACATTGGATAGGAACATAAAATGCTACATAATTTTCAGAAGCCTGTAATATGAGTGCTCCAACCAGACACCTCAGGTTGTATTCTGCGACAAAGCTGATGGTAGACATTAAATATATTTACGATCCGTGAGTCAAATGCATAAGTTCTTAAGTTAAACTTTCATTTCTTGGCCATTATTAAAAAATGTTTACATAAAAGAAGGAATGAGATGGGCTGGGCATGTAGCGCGCATGGATGGGACAAGAGGTGTGCACCGGGTATTGGTTGGGAAACCTGAAGGGAAGAGACCGCTGGGGAGACCTAGACGTAGATGGGAGGATAATGTCAAGCGGGATCTATGGGAGATAGGAGTTGAAGGAGACTGGATTCTGTTGGCCCAGGACAGG